CTTAGGCAACTGTCTCAGCCTTAGCTCCAGGCTGATTTTTAGCTTCTATATAAGGCCTTGTCACCTTCATCTGGGAAAGCCAGCAGCCACTTCAGAGTGAACATTTACAAGAGACTATGTATCTACATACACAGTCTGAATTTATACAAATACTTATCATTCGGCTTGTTTTTTAACGGGCGGAGCGTGTGTATATTTTGCACACACTTCCACACATCAGGAAATATTTTCATTGACTGATTCGAGTGTGACGTTCTCTTTAACAGACAAAAAAACCCCATACTTTTGTTTCTTTTGACTTTTCTTTTCCTAATTCAAATACCAAATTGTTCTTGTTATTGCCCCAAGAGATGGTATGTTCTCTGGGGGTGGGGATGGGAGGCAGAGATAAAAAGAAAGAAAGCCAAGCTCTTCAAGGGGAAGCAGAAAAAAAAGGAAAGGGTGGGGGGAGAAAAACCGTCTGGGAATCTCAAGAACATCTTTATTTCGCCTTTTAACACTCCGCCTTTCTGATTAAAGAGTTCAGACCCGCTCCCCCGCCCGCCTTCAATTATCCCCCAGCATCTTTTCTCAGAAGCTGTCACCACCACTTGCTGAACGGCAGCCCCATCGTGAGCCATTAGCCCGGTTCTGTTCCGTTTCGCTTTTCTTTCCTCAGTTTCTCCCTGCAAGCTTTATAAATCTCCCTTGGAGGAGGAGTGTCCAAGCGGGTGGAAGTCTGAACACAATGCAACCTGAGAATTTCTGTCACTCTCTGCATATGCTCCTAAGTGCTTTAATCCCAATTAGGGGCGGCTGACACACGGTCCTATTCATTCCCATCAGCTCTTGAATACATTTGCCTAGAAATGAACTTCACAAATAGAGGCGCTCCTAAATGTGCCCAACAGCAAGGAAAATCGAATTGAGTGCGGGCTCATTCGGCAGCGGCCGGCAGAGGAGCGTTGAATGTGGAGGTGCCCCGAGACATTGCAATTCAGCAACACGCTCGCTGACTTTTCTTTGCACCATGTCAACCGAAAGAACCAAGAAATAAGTTGGGGAACTCCGGTTAAAAGGCAACTTGAGAGGCACTCTGAATACTTTTATTGAGCCGCTTCCAATGAAGGACTTAAAAAACAACAAAAAAGGCACCACAAAACCCACCAGCGGCGTCCGGGCTGCGTCTTGGCCGTGCGTTTGGAGCCTACCGGCCGCCTCGCACCCACCGGCCTCGCAATTAAGGGGAAAATGGCCCCGTCGCCTGCGTGTCATCTGGTGGCGTTCCCAGAGCCCGTCGCTGCCGCCCTATTCAGACCCGGCCTTAATGTCCCACCCGCGCCTCGGGGGCCGCGCAGCTGGTCCGCGCTGACCCTCTGGCCCGGCCGGGGCAGACACCCTCGGGGGCCGCGGCCCCGGTCACCTCAGGCCCCAACTCCGCGGAGTCTCCGGGGCCCTCTCTGCCCCGCGTCCTCGCCATTGGTCCCTGACACCGCGCAGCTCCCTCCATCCTGGGATTCGAGACTGCGAGCCGGCCAGGGTTGGGGGGGAGGTGGTAGGGGGCGGTGATTCTCCCAACGCCCGGGTCCTCAAAGGCAGTGGGCCTCAGGATGCAGCCAGCTTGGTCCCCCTGGGGACCCGAAGCCCAAGAGCTTTGCGCCCCGGTCACCCCCAGCTCTGCAGAAGGATGTTCGGAAAGGAGCCGCTAAACTCATCACTGAGGACCCGTGGGGCCTCTTTTCTAGGCGGAGCCCAGCCGGGTCACACGTGCTCGGCGCCGGCAACATTTCCAGCCCTGCTCTCGGAAGCTACGCGGCGTCCCCGTCCCCCCGCCCACCCCCGGCCAACGCAGCCGGGTCTGGAAGCAACGCAGTGGGGAGAGCTAGCTCTCTGCAGCCTGCCCCTCCAGCTCGCTGCCGCTTTCAGCATCCGCGCCTCATTAGGGGCAACCTGTTACGGGGCGGGAGTGGTGTCCGCGCAGTGCTGCGGCGGGCAGCGAGCAGGGCCGCCCCCAAACCCGCCTAGCCCCGCACCTCGGTACAGAGGGGATTTCGCTTGAACGGGGCCTCTGGACGCCCATTTTAAGTCCATAAAAAAGCCGAGTGGAATGTTTTGATTGAGTCTCAACATTGTCTTTGAATAAGGCTGAGACCATGTAATTAATGTGTCTTTTTAATAAGGGACAATACGGCCGTTCAAGCTATTTAATTTCATTTAATTTTCCATCCCATTTGCTGCACAGCCCGCTTTTACTTTTAACACCCAGCCTTTCACGGCCCATCTTGCTCCACTGGGCACATTAGATTGGTTTCACCCTTGCTTTTTAGGGGAGAAAAAATAAAAGAAAATGTGTTCCTTTCCTCCTTTGTGGACAATTTATTTCACTTGGGGAACTTCAACTCTGAGCCACAGGACAGAATAAAACTCGGCGAGCTGGTGTGAATGCCTCTGGCGCAGTCCCTTTCTTCTCGAGGGGCTGGGAACCAGCCACAATTGGCTATATTAATAAATAACTTTCCTCACAGTCGGCCTTTACATGGTCCTATTGATAAAATTGTTCGCGTGTCGTTCACGCTTTTTCACTCATTAAGGAGGGTCGGGGAGGAGCCCCGAACCCAGGCCCCGCGCTCGCCCCTTCCCGCTCGCAGTGCTGGTAATTTAAACTGGGTGTCATCCCGGAGTCGCCAGGCCAGAGGTTAGAGGGACATGTTCATGGCTTAAATTTATTGCCCTCGACTCTTCGGAGCGGCTTCCTCTCCTCCTCCCCTCCCCCGGCTTTTGCCATTCATGGGCTTGACGGATCAAAGGCTCCCTCCACTCGGTCGCTCGAAGCCTTCTCGAGGCCCGAAGAGGGGCAGTTGGAGGATTAGGAGGGAAAAATCAGTGGCAGCTCCCTCAGAAAGTGGCCCTGGGCATGGCGTGGCTGCCAGGTCAGAGCGGCCGAAGCGTGTGGCCGCCCGGACCCGACGAGTGTCTCTCTTCTCCGCCTCAGCAGCCGCGTCTATACAGGCCTTGAGTTAGCCCCGAGACCCGCCATCTATGTGTTACCGCACCGTTTGACTGGAGATGCTTAGACCTGAGACCCTTGATCTGACCTGGATTCCCCCATTACGCAAACCTCGAGTTTGGGAGCGCCACTCACTCTACACACAGATCATTGCTATTGACCTTCGCACCCGCGGAGTGGAAGCTAAATTTACATCATCGTTCCCACTTTACGGATTAGAAGAATGAGGCTCTAAAGTAATTCACAGACGTTTCCCCCGAGTCTTGAATGACAGAGCACAGACTAAATGACCCCGCGTCTCCTGACAGTGTCCAGTATGGAGAACGCAAGTCTCCATCGACGGGTGCTACGGAGCTTCTTAGAGGGCCTCGTGGGACCAATTTCTGAGTTACAGGTGTCGCCACCTTGCGTCGGGCCGCTGTTGTTAATCACATTCACCTCTGCCAGTGACCTAAGAACCACACCTTCCGGCGGCAGAGTCCGGTGGAGAATTCGGTGTAGTTGCTGCTGGGAGTCCTTCGCCCAAGTGTACAGTCTTTGGGCCTCCAACACAGGCCAGAAACCCACAGCCTCTCAGGCCTCTCCCGGAATACCGCGTCGGGCCGGCATCCTGGTCCATAGGATTTGGGGAGCGGCGCCCACGATGAGCAAAGCGTGGCAGGTGCAGGCAGAACTGTCACAAATATCTGATGAACCCAAGTACTCAGCTATCTTATGAAAAGAAATGTCTCCGCACAAATCGGAGTCTTCCTTAAAAGAAAACGAGGAGCACTCTGGTTTAAATTCCGAAGTACGCGCGTTCTCATAGTTCATGAACTGGGCTGAAAGTATGGGTTGCTAATGCCCACCTCACTCTCTTTTCCGTAACCTTTGATAGAGTCCGCCTTTAAAGTTAGCTCCAAGAATTTCCTCTCGGTTTAAAACGTAAAAGCAAATCAGGGCTTGAGTCGGTCGGTTGGCAAGTGAGGGAGACCTGATTAAAAAAAAAAAAAAAGACCCAATCAGCGGCACCCCTATTCAACCCTCTCCTAAGAACAGGGCGCAGGTTCGCCGGGAAAGCCGCGGCCCTGAGGCCGCTTCCCACTCCCAGAGAAAGTGCGGGTCCGGGGTGCACCCGAGAGCAGTGGTGCACAACGGACCACATCTACCAAAACTAGTTCGGACGCTTCATATTTCGGGGCGTAACTGGACAGAAGGACCGAAAAAGCGGTTCTAAATAGACAACTGGCCTGGACCCAATCCCCTGAAATGGTAATATGGTCGTTATTTAAAAAGTGTAGGTATTTTCTGGTGTTTTCCCATCAAGTACCTGCCTAATTTCTGTATGGCACACGCCAGAAATCAATAGAAGTTAACAAGTCCTCCAAACAGTCCCCATCTCTTTGTTTAATCTCCTTTACAATAAAGCCAAGGGGAGAGAATTAAAAATCTTTGAAGTAGACCAAGGCTCAAAGGAATCAGCCAAGTAGACTTAAAGTAGTCACTTATTTCCCAAAACTGGTTTGTCGGCGAACAATAAAAGGAAGTAAAATTTATGGAGAAATTATACAGTGGATTTGTCACTTAAAATATCGTAACTGTCTCGAGGACAATACCCCATGCTGAGGATTAATGGTCCCGCCGGACCTTTGATTCACCAGCGCCTTTTCTTCGCCCTTGACAAATTGGATTTTTAGGAATGGGAAGGTCGCCTGGACCATTGTGCGCCAGCCATTCAGAGGCCTCGATTATGCAGCGGGCTGAGGGAACCACTCCATGTGACCCTCTCGGGTGGGACTCTGCAGCTGCTCCGCAGAGCAACTCTCTCACCAAACTCCGCGCCCTTGCGCTCGCGGTGCCAAAAGGCGCCCGCCCCGATTGAAAAGGCGCAGTGCATGCCCGTCCGCGTCACTCCGCGGGCGGAGGACGCACGTCGGGGTGCGGCTCCCTGGCTGGCGCGCGGCTCGGGCTCTGTCACTCGCGCCCTGCGGAGGACCCGGCGCACCCGAGCGCCTGCCTGGCGGCGGCGGCAGCAATGCACACAGCAGCTCGCGCTCCGGCCACCAGCGTGAGTGCCGACTGCTGCATCCCGGCCGGCCTGCGCCTCGGGCCGGTGCCCGGAACCTTCAAGCTGGGCAAGTACCTGTCAGACCGCAGGGAACCCGGGCCCAAGAAAAAGGTATTAGCAATTCCGACCTCCGCCTCCAGCCTCTCGCCTCCCTTTGCCCTGGCCCTGGCAGGGGTAGATAGGGCAAGTGGAGGAAAGGGGTGATTGAGTCGTTACCTGCCAATTCTGCCAGGTGGCCGGGGGGTACTCCGGTAACTCCCCACAAGTCGCATTAAGTGAGAGCTGGACGGGGGCCGAGCTGAGGGGAAAGGACGCGGCTCAGAGGGGACAGCCCCCGGGTGGGGTGCATGGGACTCTTAACGCGCCGGGACCACTGAGAACCCGCGGTTTCCCCGGAGCTAAGGGTTTCGTTCGCAGAGGCGTGGCGGGCCCCGGCCTCTCTGCCAACGTGCCTTTTCTCTGTTACACAACACGCAGGGCGTTGAAGACTTTTCTTACCTTCTTCCCTGTAACGCGCTAATTTAAAGCTTACATTTACCTTAATTGAATTTCATGTGTTGGGAAAAAAACAATCCTTGGGAAACCCTCAGTTCCTAGATACCCCCCTCCTCGGTCCCCCCCCCCCCCGCGGATGTCTGCTGGAGGGTTGGGGTAAATGGAGAGAGGGTGAGACAGGTGGTGGCTCCGACTGGGGCTTCGAGGGCGAGGAGCGCCCACCCGCGTGGGGCACCGGGTCCGCACGCCTGCAGCCGGGCTCTGAGAGTCCAGGGTCGCAACTGGGAGGCGTCGGGGCCAGCCCGCCAGCTCTGACTCCCGGAACAGCGGACACACCCCTGACCGCAGCGGGGTTTTAAAGGCCCCCGCCCGCTCTGAGGCGTCTCAGCCGGCAAAGGTCGAACCACAGCGACCGGGAAAAGAAGGCAGGAGTCCGGTGGGGGCGGCGGAGGGAGGACCTGAGCTTTGCCTAGTTGCTGCCGAGAGCTTTCTTGTAAGAAATTGCTCGGGCGCCCAGCCAGTGGGACCCGCATCTGGCTCCTCACGTAATCATCCTCCCCGCCCCCCCCCCTCATCCCGCGGTCTAGAGCCTTCTTCTTTAAAAGGTGCTTTATTTATTTTTAAATGGCCGGCGGTCCTGCGGCCGCTTTGTGCACACACTTGTCACTGCGGGGCTTGTCGGCACCTCCGCACCTCGGTGCTGTGCAGCGAGTTTCGCGAGGCACGAGAGGGAGGTGGAGGAAACTCTGGGTTCTGGGGCTGACTTCGAAACATCTCTCGCCTAGTATTCCGGCTGCTCTCAGGACCGCAGGAGCGAGAACTAGGGTGGGGGTGGGGATGGGGAACGTCTAGGTACAAGATGCCCCCAATCGCTCATGGAGGATGCTCTCGCCCTTGGTATTGCCAAGGTAGGGCGAGAGGGGGAACTGTTATACTAGCCAGCCTCTTCTCCCTCCCTCAAGCAAGGGTCCTAGGAATTACCTTCCTCCCAGCAGCCCACAGCTGTCTGGCCAAAGGGAACACAACCATTTTCCTGAGTCGGGTGGGGTGTTGGATAAACTTTTCCTCTGGGTTGTGGGCCTGGCCGTGGCGCGGGGAAGAACGACCACTGCTTGTGTTGCAGGTGCGCATGGTGAGAGGGGAGCTGGTGGACGAGTCGGGGGGCTCTCCTCTGGAATGGATAGGGTTAATCCGGGCAGCCAGGAACCCCCAGGAACAGACTCTCGAAGCTATTGCAGACTTACCCGGAGGACAGGTACCGTGGGCTTCCCCCCACTGCCAATTCTACCTACCTAACCGTTACTGAGGTGGCCGCCAATATCAAGAGCCAAGCGCTTTTGCTGGAGGTCTCATTTAAACGTGCCTGTAAAGCAGATACTATTATTTTCCCCATTTGAAGAATGAGGGAAATGAGGTTCAGAGAGATCCAGTAGATTTTCCAGGGTCACACAGCGTCAGAACGCGCATTCCAACCTTTCCTTTTGGTTGTGGCTAGACCGATTACCCAGGAAATGACAGCGAGCTGTTCTGCTCCTTGTGTCCCAGATTTTCTACCGAGCGCTGCGAGACGTCCAGCCAGGGGAGGAGCTGACGGTGTGGTATTCCAACTCCTTAGCTCAGTGGTTCGACATCCCCACGATCGCAACTCCGACGCACGACGAAAAAGGTACCAGGTCCGGCGGGGCCTCCGGGCCGGCGCGGGTGGGTGAACGTCCAGCCCGTCTCCCGCCCTGGGACGCGACAGGGCCTTTCCCTCGAGCTGTGTAAAACTGAATTCAGCCTCCCTGTCTGTGTAGGCACAGAGGCGATGTCACCACTACCTCCTTAAAATCAACAGTAAAGGATAACAGCGACAATAACCTGCCTTGTGATGGCAGGGGAAAAAACATTTTTTTTTTTAAAGATCTATTTATTGAGAGAGAGAGAAAGTGGGGGGAGGGGCAGAGGGAGAGGAGAGAGCATCTCAACCAGACTCCCCGCTGAGCGTGGAGCCCCACATGGGGCTCCATCTCACCACCTTGAGATCTTGACCTGAGCCGAAACCAGGAGACCAGGGCTTAACCTACTGAGCCACGCAGGCGCCCCCCAAAAATTCTTTATGAACTTCATGGGGGTCATCTTTTCCTATTCCATACCCAGAGACAATTATTTACTCAATTAAGAATCAATAAAGAAGCCTTAACATATTATTAATCATATCATGAGCTCCAAAAAACAAAACTCAAACCTAGAATGTTTTAGAAGGTGGAGGGGCTTCTCTTCACTGGTGTGAAGGAGAGTAATGTGTTTCTACCGCATTTTAGAAGCATTACGGTACTTACAGCTGGTCAGTTGGCAGGTACTGAGGCCCTTCCGTTTAAATGGTATTTATTCATTTCCCCCTCCCTACTTAAATTGAATCTGGGATGTATCCCAGTTTCTTCTCAGATGTATTTGATCCCTTCCAAAGCCAAGAGTGGATTTATGCAAATTAAGGGGCAGTAACTAAAGAGAAGAATATTTTCAAACCTTCCCTAGAACACTGAAGAACATTTTCTGTGAAAGAAAGCTGGGAGGTGCTAAAATAGTTAAGATCTTGAGACCTCCCTTTTAATTCACAAAGCTTCCAAAAACTTTTTCCTTGACAATTGTTTTAGTTTGCAATTTCTTCTAAAGACACAGTTAATGTTAAAGTGAACACAACGAATGCTGTGAAATATTTTAACATGCTCTCCTCCTGAATTGCCTGCTCAAGTCTCATCCTTTTAGAAATAGGGTTAAATAAATTAATACAAATGTGAGCATTAAGAAACACGTCATGAATAAGACAGAATGAAGTTTATTCAGAACGATGAATCACTTCACTTCAAAGTATCACTATCTTGTGGGTAGATTTGTATGTACAGTATTCATAAAACATTATCCTAAAGTAGTTTGTTCCTTGTATCACACTATATTAAATTCTCTTGTCAACTTCTTCCAGTAAAAGAGAAACATGATAAAAGCCCCGTAGTGGAGAACTCTCAAATCCGCCACTACAGGACAATTCTAACAGCTGCTGACCTTTAGGGGCCAGACATTTCTACACAGAACACCCCTCCTTAGGCACTCTCAAATAGTACAAAAGCAACTTGTTTGAGTGGTGGTCCTTGTGTTTTCATTTCAGCCAACTGAGCTTATAAACAGATGTCGGAATAGACACCATTTTCCTTTTGGGAATGTACGGGGCTATTTTGAACCCTGACTTCCCCACCTTTGATATGCTTGAAATCTTGGCAACCTCAGGGTTACACCAAGGAGAGGAGGCAAAGTCACTTATGAAGTGAAGGATTTCAGAGTCCAGAGAACATGTCAGTTGGTTAGGATAAACTGAAAAAGGAGCATATTGAAACAGAGAACACATTTGCTTAACTCTTGAAAAGAGAAAGAAATAAGTAGGGATGGCCGCTATTCTTCCAATATTGACTAACTCCAGTGGATTTAGATTCCATGATAAGCTTAAGGAAAGTACGGACCTTTTGTTTTAGGGATAAAGCTTACTTGGCTTTGCAATTGACTAGAGTCATTCTGGGGCAGCCTCTGAAAACTCCTTTAAAAAGGGGGTGATGAGAGGAAGGTTCGGAGAAGGGAGGTTATTTAAGATATTAAATCAATATACCCACTAAGAGAACCCAGGAAATCTCTCTCTTTTTTTTTTTTTACAAGGTAACATAAATAATGAAATGATTTTATCTAAGTCTTCCATAAACAATTAGCATAGGTTCTCAGAGGCAAATCCTCTTTCCCACCCCCCTTTTGCTTTCCGCTCTACCTTGGCTTCAGCTGAAATAAACAGATCCTTACTTGAACTTCCGTCTTAGTTATCTAGGGGGACTACTTGCTTTATGCAAAGCCAAAAGTAAAATACATGAAGGGAAGAAGATCTGGAATTTCTTTCAGTTGTTTTTGTAGTGATGTTTCAGAAGTTTGAGCTGCTTGTGTACAAGGGGGGAGGGAATTTAAGTTTTCCACTAAATTTAATAAGACAGACCTATTTGGGGTACTTAACTAACTTCTTTCTCACAGACATCCTTCAGTATTATCAATCAACCGTAACATTAAAAAAGAAACCCACTGCAAGATCACTGTTCTGTGTCCAGATATAACAAGACCTTTTAAAGTGAAAATTAACTTCCGCCATGTGATCAAGATCTGTTTCATACATGTGTCTCTTGATTGTGTTCCCAGACCCTGGCAAAATTAAAAAAAAAAAACTAATGTCAATAATATTAAATACGAAAAAAGACTTGACACCAAAAACATGTATACAGTTCCTGGTAGAGAATTGTACACTTATTAAAAGCTGAGTACCTCCATATATCTCTATATATTCATGTATTTCATAAAAAATAAACTATCTTTCCCAAGGACTTTATTATATTAAGCCTGGATTCGTGGAGCTATCTAGGAGTTAATTAATTACTCCAGGTAGAACAACTGACAAGATAATGCAACATCATCCTTCAGTTTTTAGAATATCAGGACATAGGGCTTTTTCTTTTCTCTCATCAAATTAAATGGGGTTAAAGAGGAAATAAAGATACAAATAATTTTGAAGAATAGCAGATCATAGTCCCTATGTGGTCCTTCAGTTGGTCACGCTCCAGGAAAACCTCAGGCAAAATGTTTAAGGCTGGGAGGGGGTGGGAAGGGTGGGTAGTGGACATAAAAGGCATTGTTCTGTGAAAAGGAATGATTACATATGGCCCATACATACAAGATATTGTCTCGCCTGGTAATGAGGCGCTCACGACCATTAGATTGGTCTTTGTTCAGTTTATCCAAACTCCTTGACATACGCCACCTATTCTGCAAACGCCAACAGATGGGCCCGGGCACAGCACAGCCTCAACACTTGATTTAAAGCAACAGCTGCTCTCTGTTCTGGTCTCTTCCCCGGCCAGTCTGCCCGAGCGCTGCCCTCCCAACGAAGATTTGCTCGGATTGCCCGGAGGAAGTCTTCGTTGGAAAGGCACAGGTCACCCCTTTGGCCTCTGAGTAATCCCAATGGATGGATATGGTGACAAAGTTGGCCATTTGGGGCTTCTCAGGGTCCTTGCTGCGGTGGGGCTACCGAACTAACTGACTTATTCGCTGGACCCAAGAATACTCCTGTTCCTCCTCATACCGCTGATCAAAATCTGGGCTTTGCCTTGGGTGCGCTTTCTTTCTCTCTTGCTTTTTCGCCTCTCACGGGGTCGCTTTCCTACTTTTTGTCGCCCAGGGGAGGAGCGCTACATTTGCTGGTACTGCTGGAGGACGTTTAGATACCCCAACAGCCTTAAGGCCCACCTACGTTTCCACTGCGTGCTCAGCAGCGGCGGGGGCCGAGCCTATCTGCACCACGAGCACGGGGCTCGCCAAGGCGCTGCCCCGGCCGCGGATGGCCTTCACTTCTCTCCGAAACCCCCGGCGCCTGACTTTGCCGCGGCCGCCCCCGCTGGCACTCTGCGGTCCCACCCGCAGGCCCCGCCGCCCCTCCAGGCCTGCGGAGCGCGGGAGAGCATTAAGCGCGAGGCCTCCTCTGCGCCCTCCGCCGCTTCGCCTCCCCCGGCCAAGTGGGGGCAGTCCAAGAAGGGCAAGGAGCAGCCGGACCGCGCCCTAGACATGAGCGGGGCCGCCCGGGGACACGGCCACTTCCTCGGCATCGTGGGCGGCTCCCCAGCGGGGGGCGGCGGCCTGGCCTTCTACCCCGGAGTGCGCTCGGCTTTCAAGCCTGCCGGCTTGGCCAGGGCGGCCGCGGCCGCACACGGCGACCCCTACCGGGAGGAGGGCGGCGGCAAACCCGGGTCCGGCCTGGCCTTAGGCAGGCTGCTGGGCGGGGGCCGGGCGGGCGGCCGCCCGGGAAGCGGGGAGAACCCCGCGGCGGGCAGCACGGGCCACCACCATCACCACCACGCGCACCACCACCATCACCACTCTAAGTGCCTGCTCGCGGGGGAGCCGCCGCCACCTCCTCCGCCTGGCCTACCCTGCTCGGGGGGCCTGCGCGGTTTCCCTCTGCTCCCTGGGCCCCCGGAAGAGGCGTCAGCCTTCAAGCATGTGGAGCGCGCCCACCCCGCCGCGGCTGCGCTGCCGGGAGCGCGTTTCGCCCAGCTGCCCTCTGCTACCGGGCTGCCCGTCGAGCGCTGCGCGCTGCCGGCCCTCGACGCGGGCGGGCTCAAAGCCTACCCCGGTGGCGAATGCAGCCACCTGCCTACCGTCATGCCGGCTTTTACCGTCTACAACGGGGAGCTACTCTACAGCTCACCGGCCGCCGCCGCTTATTACCCGCTCAAACTGCACTTCGGCGGGCTGCTCAAGTATCCAGAGTCCATCTCATACTTCAGCGGGCCTGCGGCGGCGGCGGCAGCGGCCGCTCTAAGCCCTGCAGAGTTGGGCTCGTTGGCTAGCATCGACCGAGAGATCGCTATGCACACGCAGCAGCTGTCGGAGATGGCGGCAGGGAAAAGCCGCGGCCGCCTGGACGCGGGGACGCTGCCACCGGCCGTCGTGGCAGCGGGTGGCCCTGGGGGTGGCGGCAGCGGAGGTGGCGGCGCCGGCAAGCCCAAGACCGGCCACCTGTGTCTCTACTGCGGCAAGCTGTACTCGCGCAAGTACGGGCTCAAGATTCACATGCGGACGCACACGGGCTACAAGCCGCTCAAGTGCAAAGTGTGCCTGCGGCCTTTCGGCGACCCCAGCAATCTGAACAAGCACATCCGGCTGCACGCTGAGGGCAACACCCCCTACCGCTGCGAGTTCTGCGGCAAGGTGCTGGTGCGCCGCCGGGACCTGGAACGCCACGTCAAGTCCCGCCACCCTGGACAAAACCTGCTCGCCAAGGCGGGCGAGGGCCCAGGCGCAGAGCCTGACTACCCCCCGGAACCTGGGGAGCCCAAGAGCGACAACGACAGCGATGTGGACGTCTGCTTCACGGACGACCAGAGCGACCCTGAGGCTGGAGGCGGCGGCGAGTGCGACTCGTAACGAGTCGTCCGGGGAGAGGGTGGGCTTGTGGGGGCGTGGACAGAGATAAGAAGGTGGGGGTGGTTCTGTTTTGGGAGAAGAGAAGCTCCCCGAGATGAGAAGGATCCGGTTGACAAAACCGTTTTTATTTTGGTCGGGCGCCAGATTTGGAAGAGTGAGAGGTCCCGGGTCCGCTGCTTAAACTCGGAGCAAAGGTTTAGAAGTGGCTCAAAGAAACCTGGCCTTCTGCGCAGCCCGAGGGTGGCCGGTCCCGGCGCGTCCTAGACCCTTGGACTCCGCGGGTAGGCCCTCCCACGAAACGCCCAGGAGGTCCACTCTCAAGGTTTAAGATTGCATCAATGTGAACTTCACAGCGCCCTCGAGGGCGCCGATTTTAACTGCCATGTATTTTTAAATTGTTCTTTTCTGTGGAGGAAATTGTGCCTTTTGAAACGATTTTTGTGTGTGTGTGTGTGTGTTTTACATTAGCATTTCACGAAATAGGCAAAACAGTAGTCACAGTTCGGTAGATGTGACATCCATACATTTGTTTCCATTTCATCTGTTCTCGGGTCAAAGACTACGCCTTCCCGCATTGGCTATATAGTGGTAGCAGGTGTACAAATTGGTCAAGTTGCAATTATTTATGAGAGTAATGACAAATGTAAAATATCTAAAGCATGAATCTAAAAGCACGCAGTATATAATTTTAAGGAAAATGTCTTATTTGGTAGAGTACAAATGTGATGTATGTTGTTTTACAATGAATGATGTACAGTTGATTCAGTATTTTGGTCTTGGTTCCAGTTTGTGCAATCTTTAATAAAAATAAAAATGAGTTTCTTCACTTAGCGATTTCAGTAGATCCTTTAAAGAAAGAGTTTAATTTGAAAACAATTTATGAGGAGACTCCATAATAAAATAAATCCTAGGACACTTGAAGACTTTGATTATTCATAAAATAAATGTTTAGTGTTTTAATAGGGAAATATACCATTTTCAATATGTGCAATTCAGGGGCTCCCAGATAGCAGGCAAAGCAATTGTCTTCTGAAACCATTGTTAATTATGCTAAGAGTTTTCATGTTTAGGAAAGAATTAATGACCTTCAAGAAAAAAATGCATATTCCTCATTAACAAGAATTATAGAACTGTAGAATCACTATTTCTTGTTATATACCGTTTTGACAGGAGAATTTTCCTTGGGAAGCAAGGGAAACTTGTGCAGTGCTTTTTATGATTCATACACTTTAGTATTCATTCAACAAATGCTAAAGGAGGTACTGGTCTACTGGTCTGTGAAGCTTTCTTTTCTGCATGCACTCTTTCCAATGATCTTGTGCTTTTTTAAGTGTCCGATTTTACGGATAAGAAAATATACACTTCAAGGTCACTGGGAGGCCCATAATGAGAAGGACAAAGTTATAAACAATGACTTTGTTTATGGGTATAAAAAATTAATGCTAGCTAATGGAAGACTCATAAAGGATATATTTCTGTGGGCTAAAATTGGAAAGCACCCTCTCCCCTTCCTATGCCACCCCCCAACCCCATATTTGGGGGAGGATTTCACTGAAGTTACCTAGAAGTAGAGGATTAGCTATCCCCTCCACTAAGGTCAGGTACCCTAAGAGCCCAGGTCTGTAGTGCTTGTTCCAGAGGTTGGTGGGAAGATTCTTTTTTTTTTCTATTCCAATTTTTTTTCTATCCATACATATATTTTTGTAAACTCTATGAATAGCCCTTTTGGTGGGAAGATTCTTGTAGGCCACCAAAGGGTCTGGATATGATCCTGATGATTTAACTCAGTTAAAAATGACTTTTATTTTCTGAGTCCTGAGTACTGCAACAGTCTCCACCCTGCTGTCTCCCAGTTGGGAACATGGCCTCAGTCACTGGGTGGCTGCGGGGACTTTTTCTAACACATCACAGCAAGAGGCATGGGTGGAGGGAGGGAGAGGACACCTGACTTCTATAGGGGATGATCATCAAAAAGACTTTTTCCCATGAGAAAATTTATGGAGGCAATTTTAGTTTTTTAGCATCAGCTGACCAGAAAATGTTTTGCTTTGTGAAAGAAAGCCCAAATATGTGTGTGTGTGTGTGTGTGTGTGTGTGTGTGTATTAACATGTATATATGGGTGACAATGAAACTACCATTTATTGAGGGCCTACTCTATACCAAATCCTTGTGCTATTTGCAATTCTTTCCTCCCTGCAGAAGATGACCATGGGCTTGGCCCACTAGTTTCTGTGATGCCCTGATACACAGAACTGGAAGTGAACTCAAGCATCTTCCTGTTCAGCTTGCTCTAGGCACCCAGGACTTACATCTCATTGCCTATATAGTATCATAGTCCTGCCCTTCGAAGCAATTATTGCTTGAAACAAAATCCAACCTTATAAATATTGGAAAACTTTCCTGCAATCAGACTGTGTAAGTCCTCAGGGAAAGTGAGAAAGTCTGCCTAGATTTAAAACGTGAAAAGTTTTATCCACTGTAAAAGTTTCCTTCTTTCATTACCTAGCTCACTACTAAGTCTTACAACTTTTATTGTTTTAAAGAAATAAAAAGTTTGGTCAAAGGAAATATATTTAAAATTGATAAAGATTTAATAAAACAAAACCCCCCAGCCTTCTTTTCCCCTTTGTAAATTGATATTGACTAGGTTATTAAAATAAATTTCAGTATAAAAAATGAAAGTTGAATATAGATTTAAAAGGTTCTTAATAGCAGACCATTTGTAATTCTCTATAGGTTGCCTCGAATAACCTGTATATTTGTTCATGGATGTGCACACTATCATATATAATGAATGTGATTATTTTAATGGTGAAGTCAAATCAGTGCTGTACAATCAGTAACATTAATACTACTTATTTAAATGGCTCAGTTGAATTAGTGTTTCTCAGATGACTTCTTTTCGTCTCCAGTCCCTTTGTCTCCCATTCCCAGACTCCAATCCTTGATCCTTCTCAAGGATCAAGCACAATTTATTAAAAAGATGAACTAACTTTGAGGGTTATGCTAAAGCCACTGGAAGTTTCTAAGATTTTAACTAAATATTTTGTACCAAGAGATTAAAAACATGATAGCAGGATTTATGTATTTTAGAAGTAAAAGTATCTAGGTTGTTTGGGCCTTAGTTAATTTGGACATTAAAATGTTTTGCTAACCTAAATAAATCAGACACGGGTTCTAGGCTTGCCTCTACCACTTACTTACTTGGTATTTTGGGCCAGTCTCTCTACTGCCTCAATTTCCTCATCTGTTAAACAGGTTGAAATAAGCAACAGGGAGGTTGTGAGGATTGAATGAGTTAATGCAGGTAAACTGCTTAGAATAAAGCCTGATGCTTTGTAGGCTCTCAGACAATATTAAAATAACCTTAGTAATTCTGTGGTTTCATTTTGAAGACATCAACCAACGAGATAAGGATTGACGCCCTTTTACAAACATTAGCATTTCGTTCTCTCCTTGGCTCACTTCTAGCCCCGGACAAATTAGCCCCAACTTCAGTAAATAAAGGCCTTTCACGCTTTTGCCAAAGAGAAACTTCGTCAGACCCCTTATCAAGTCATCTTTCCTTTTAAGCTCAGACATCAACCTGTGCAAGCGCCTCATAGCGGTTAAGTGAACAGGAAGAATGCGTTTCGTCTGTTTTCACTAATTTTTGAAAAGCACGTCCGTGCGGTGAGTTTAAGCAGAAGCCTGCGGAGGAGGTGAGTGCGAGTACGTCTCTCCTCCTGGGTCGAGCAGAGAGCGGAACACACAGAAAGAGCTGCAATTCCTCAACATTCTACTATGGGGAAAGTTCATTCCCTGTCTAGACTCTGAGGGAAGGAGGTGAGTGGCGGCGGGGCTCCAGGTTAGAACTGCACGTCAGGGGAGCGGAAGGAGCGTGTGGTCGTATCGGTGCTGGGCAGCCAGAGACGTGAGGGCAGTGATTGGCTGCTCTCCTTTAGCCTGAGCGCTCCCATTGGCTCATTCCTTGGAGCCAGGGATGCTATTGGTGGCAGGCTGGCCTCGCGCGAAGGTTTGCCTCCCAGGAGGCCCTGGCCCACTGGCGGTGGCGGCTTGAGTGGGTGCCGCAGTGTCCGGTAGTGAGTGTGCGGCTCTTGCAGCTCACGGCTTCGCTCTCCCTGGGAACAGGGGGTTTCGGGTTCTGGGTTGGGGCAGAGGTGTGGGAGTCTCGCTACGTTTAGGTGTAGTGTCTGGGAGGCCCGGAGGGGCAAGGAAAGCGGTACCCGCCTCCCCCTTCCCCCTTGCAGCGCCCAGTGGAAGGCAGAGGGAGTTCCTGGCGCCTAACTAGTCCTTGTTTAAGTGCTCCTGCCCTGCTGTGGCGGGGAGCTGCGGCACCAGCGCTGCGGCGCCCTCGCCATCTGCTGCCTCCCCAAAGGGAAGGGGGCATAGGCGCTGGCGCCGTCGGGAGATCAGACTTGACCCTTGGCCACCCAGGTGTGAGTTGTGAAGGGGAGGACTCAACAGACGGCGGGGCCAACGTGTTTAGTTCCAGAAGGAGCGTGGCGCTCGCTCTGGGCTGGGTGACCTTCCTACAAAAGATGAAAGGAGCGCTGCTGTCATCTGGGACTGTAGTTTAATTCAAATTAGGTGTAACCAGTTGTACGACAACTTGTTAAAGCCTTTGGCTTGAGAACCGTCCCAGGGCCCTTAAAGGGACAGAGGTTGGGTGGACTATATCTATGCGTGTAAATCCTGTAAGGACACTGATTTTATTTCAAGTGCAATATGTTTTCATTGTTTAAATTTTAGTATTTCATGTAAGTAGATAACTAAAGCACAATTTATTAAAAAGATGAACGTGATAGCATAAAAGACAGATTTTTGCAATTAGAATTAAACAGATTGAGGAACATTTTCCTGTAGAGTGAGGAAACTTTATTAAAAATGAAATATATTGGATATCCAAATATGAGTATCATCTACCTTTTTTTTTCTATCCACATATGTATTTGCATACTTTGGTATTTGTTTAAAAAATTTTTTTAGATTTTATTTA